TGTTTACGCCACTCCGAATTGGGCATGGAAAACAGTACTCTCTTCGGCAAACGATGGTTCGGCATGCGTAAAACATGCCCCAACCAACGCAGCTTCTGGTGCTGGACATATTCTTCAATGGAAGTACCCGTTACACAACCGAAAACACGCTTTCTAACTGCCTCGTTAGAGGCATGCTGATCTGTATGAAGGAATTGCGAAACAATACAGCCAGTGGACTCGACTCAATCTTCACGTGAGGACTAAAGTCGTGGTCTAATTGTGCACCAGACTCGACAACGTCACCCACTGCCATTCGGTCGCATCATTTGGAATGTACTTTTATCCCAGGTCGTCAATGGCTGGGAGTGGATTGTACGTTTTCATGAGGATGTGAGCACAAATCTGACGGTTTACCATGTATGATTAGCCCTTTGAAGGCCTTGGTTGACTTTGCTAAGCATTAAAATATGTGTTTTTGACCAACCATATCGTTTAATAAATCGTTCTAAGCCGGGTTACCAAGTACTTTGCAGTCTTGTCTCCTAACTGTAATTTGCAAGTCACGCAGGTATTGAACCTGCTGATGAAATTATCTGAGAATTACCAAGTAGACTAGCCACAAATGTGGAATCGATGGTTAGGCACGTCCTGGTTAATGAATGCTCACGATAGAAAGCCAGGATTTAAAAGAATCACAAATGTCCCAATCGATTCAATTCAGAAATGGAGTTAAACAAGATAGCTAGATATCCGAGCTCAGCCTATACTCAGAGGACCAATGAATACTATTTTTATGCCCGGCAAAGCCGATCGATACATGTGTGCCTGTTGGCGTCTGTCGCAATATGACGTAGGGTTAAAAAGCAAAAATTAGAAACACGATATGGAAGTTTCTGGTAGCTTTGTTTCGTATGTTCAACCGACGCGTGTGGTATGCTTCAAGTGCCAAATAAACGTAACAACTTGATGTGACTTCCCGGAGGAACATGCAATCCATCCGTGTATATTGTTGAACAATGTGACATTCCGCGTCACTGAGCCTAATTGATTCCTTTTTTGTTCCTCAGAGCAAAACTACAGCCTTAGCTCGGATACAAAGAGCTCTTGGATCGCCCTACTGTTGAGCTGAGTTTGAGCTCCGAGGCTATAATGGAACAGTTGTTATCTTGGACTTCGCTTGTTCTCACTAAGTTTTCAGCCTTGTCGTTTAAGGGGCATTTTTCAAACCTACGTTACTTTGGTTAATCGATTTATCTAATCTTCACGCGATGGCCGATTGTTATATCTGTCGTATATGACACGTTGTTGGCACCGCAAACTGGCGGTTGCTGTGCTGAGCCGCTATTTCAGTAACCTGCAACCCCTCAGTAGTTCAATAAAGTGAGGAATTCCAGGCCCAGAAAGAAAGTCCGGCTAAAGACTTCGGACGTATAGACTTCCGAGATCACTTCGCGTGATCTCTCAGAGGATGAAGGAACACGACTGGCGCGATCGACGACGTTTGTAACACGTTCTGCAATGCACTGGTTTTCAGCTCCCTAGTAACCTTAGGCGCTAAAGTGAAGTTGACGAATCGTATGCGCCACTTGAGTTACTCAGATGTATGGATATGCGGCAACGAGCATATCTGTTACTTACAAGCATCCAAATGAATGTGCGCATTCGAATTAGACAAAAAGCTCCCAGCTGAATGAAGCGATCGGCTTAATGCGCGTTTGGCGAACACACCACTGCTAAACGAGCTGTTTTAAATTTCATACTACTCATGAGTAGTTGAGAGCTGGTGAAGGTAACAAGACATCGCTGAGCCTCGATTGCCAAATTTCGTAAGTTGACAATGCTTCCACATTTTACCCATTCGTATTATGACCAGGTGGACCACAAACAAATATTTGATAAGTGCTCTGACGTGAAGCGGTAGGGAACACTAAGCCAATCGGCCAAGTTGAGCAATGGATATGAGTATACACCCTTTCAGGGAACATCTGTTTGGAACTTGACATTCACCCATTCCAATTCGTACTCCGCATTTTGATACGAATATGCCCAGTCAGCGTCCGCCGCGTGCATCATTCCGTTGAAAGCAAAAGGCGTAGCTCTATCCTCAGGCTACAAGCAAGTGCAGAGCCCAGAGCTCCTGTCCCTTGGGCACGACAGTAAAGTGGTAAAATCGTGCCTGATTATCTGGGGTGAACGGTGTACACGATCATCTCAGGAAAGTGAGATAGATAGGCTGATCGGAATGCCGGTGAGCACGGACAAGCTCACCAACCGAAAGATCGATAGCTATCGGTGGGCAGCTAGGAAGAGATAGCGAATTGCCAGCTTTCCCGGCATAATCAAACGTTTCTCCTGAACCTGCAAGTGCTTGTAAGCAGCGCGATTCAAACAGCTTTGTCGACTACAGTTCAAAGGAGGGAACCGTTGGCTGGACCGCAGAAAAATCCAGTGATAAAGTTGGGCTTCTCATTTTAATCTAAACGAGAAAACTCTGGTAAACGTAGTCAACGAAAAACAAACCAAAAAATAATTCACTGAATGAGGGGAGGACCTTCCTAACTGTATTGTTTTGAAATACTGCTAGCTCAAAAGCGGATGAACTAAGTTCTCGAGGTTCTCTCTCTGGAGGTATAACTCTACGGCGTTTGAGACTAGAGTATAACAAAATATGGAAGGGGATCGAAGGGGACAATACCTCGAAATGTTCGATAACCAGCATCGCGCCAATCGATCCTATGACCGAGAAATAACACCGTAGACGCCGACTGGAACAAGGTCGCACATGTTCACTAAAGAGGGAGGTCCAAGGTGTAACGATACGCTTTTGAAAGCACGCACAACAGGTACTCAGCGAAGATAGGACTTTCCACCGTCTTGGTCGCACTCAACTCAGATCCAGCCAAGCGGTATCACCACAACCAACCACGTCCCAGAAACCAGCCCAACAAAGCCCATCTTCTATCGTCAAGTGAGGGGATTTCGCTCACTCAACCCAATTCAGCTAACCGCCGCACTAGAACAAAAACGAACACCTAACAAACAGCGTCCTGTTTTTCACTCACCAAGCTGTCTCGCTTATACAATTGTGACTGAATTTATTAGGGTGACAAAAGAGTTGTGGTGAGCTTTTGAAGTTTCCTTCGTTCCACATGGCAATATGGGTGCATCGCCAAAACAATGAAAGGTGGTTTACACTGTGCTCAGCTAGTTCCCTTGCACTTCGATTTTGACCCTTGTGTAGGAGGCGTAGCGGCCCGCAACGCTTCGAGTTAATGTTGCGAAACCATTCGAAAAGTACTTTAAATTGCGCGGTAGAAAATTTGTTTTTCATAGCTTTTGTTTATTGCGAGTAGACACTTTATAAAACATAAAAGCACGCCCTCCCTCCTTGCGGAAAGGGCTATAGTACACGTCCATGCATACTTTATAAGTGAGTACCTCAATCTGTCACGACCAGGATTCTCGTTGACCTTTCAACGTGACAACAAAATCAACAGCGGCATTATGAAATTGCTGTAATCTGCTTGAGCAAAGAGGACTTTTATTTACAAATGTGATCTGTTTCGTCGTGACAAAGGTTTCCACAGAGGACTGCTAATTAGACTGCGCACACGCCGCATCGAACTGATCCTTGTATCGTTCTATCCACTCTTTTGCCATGATCTTCATTGGAAGTACATCGGCGAGAAATTGGTATTCTTTGTTCTGCGATTGGAGGGTTGACAAATCGTCATAGTCCAGTTGCAAACCCGGAGGCTTCAACGCTCTGGAAAGAAGTTCTCCAAGGAATAGTTCCTACACAGAACGAGGGTAAATCGAATGGCGTTGGACGTACCGTAGCCTTGGAAAGACAGACAGCCGACTCGGCAGAGACCGTCACAACTTTAGGGGATGTCTTCATTAGGATTTTGGTTCGACTGGGTTGGATTCGTAGGGGGCATGTGGGTTCTTTATCCATATCCCTCAAAGAGTTCTACAAAGCGAAGAATCGGAGAGGTGATAGAATTCAAACCAGTTGGAATCGGCTACAACTCCAAAGTATATGATGTAAAAGTTAAAGAGGACAATGGAATACACGTAACACGTTATTCATTAGGTTGCTGGAAACTCCTTGACAGCCCGCGGCCAGCTTAGTCCTTTTGAGAGCTCATCAAATAGGGGCAGTCCTATGTTCGACAGTGGAATATCGCGAAACTTTGCCGTTTCAGGCTTTCCAAAGTCCATGAAAGTACTCTGTTTGTACAGGAAAGTAACCCGGGCTTGCTATACGACCATATGTCTGCCAACAACCGACAGGAATGTCCTCACCAACACCGAAATCTGAGGAACAGCTGGCTACTATCTATTGCTCAAGGATGACGTATGCGAAACCAAATATCCCGTCCCAAATCAATCGATACCAAAGGACGTTAACCAGACCAATAAGCAGGCAGAAAAGTGGAGACGAAAACATTCCGATATGATGGTGAAGAAACCGGTTACTTCAGAATGGAAAAAGGAAAATTACCCAGCGGTGAAGCTCTGCTACGAAGTTGAGATGCCAAGATAGCAACAATCGAAAAGCCACTAGTTGACGCTTTTTGAGAAGGAGCTCGAGGTAGCTCGGGAGTTAGGGCGCAAACTGACTGACCGGAAGGTTCGTGGTTCGAACCCAACCTCTGTGTCTCGACTGCTTCTGTCTAGGCTCGGGCAACCTGGCGGTAGCTTACCTTTAACGCCTCCACCGGGTGGCGAGGTAACTATGCACCGAAAGCATGTTGCGGCAGAATGATAATGGCTACATTTTTATTTGAACAGGAGGAAAGGCCAAACTATCGGCAGATGGTGAGTGAATCTGGGACCAGGAAGAAGAGGTGACAATTTTCTCACCAAGAAGAGCAAATCCACAGAATAAACCCGTTTTAACGGTTATCATTTTCAGAGAAGAAACCATTTGCACTAGGACCCTTCAGGTGCTACCTTAGGAGCAGGAAAAAGGTGGCAGAAACAGCTGACAAATACCATAAATCGCGGGAAATTTTCACCGCACATCAGAGGTATGAGGTAGACCATGGGAAATGAGGAACCGATACTTTCCACCGTGGAAAACGCAGAATTCAGCACGGTACGTGCCCTTCAGAGAGGTCTGCTCTACAACCCGTCAGAAAATTCAAAACATTTTCTTATTCAGGAGTCCCCCGCGAATGAATTCGGTCACTTTGGTTTCACCAATTTCTTTGCCCATTTTTCAGTCATCTTAGCCCAGTTTTCTTCGACCTTCTCACTGAATCCAGATGGAACATTTGTACCGATTGGGTGACACTCATTGCCCCTGCACTGTTCGCATTACGTTTCTGTTTCTGACTTCAGTGGCTCTTGGGCCTTGGTAAATTTGAAATTCTTGGCAATTACGTACCATTCGTTGACGAATATTGCCATAATCTCCTTGCGTTTTATCCCCGGTGGACACCTGTAAGCCCCAAAAAGAGATGGTAAAAGCTGCCCAGCTTCAGCTGAGGTGAACTTCCGGTGCACGGCTGCCCTCTCGATTTGGAGAAAGCACGAGAGCTGAGATGGAGAACAGGAGCAATCGAAAAACCAGGAATGAATTAGAGTCACGGGTTTCTCAGTAGTAGTTTTACATCCCAAACAGTGCGTCATCCAAAGCTCAAGAGTGGCCTTGCCAGGAAAATATCACAGTGCCTGTCTGGAGTAAACGCGGTATTGGGGGCTCCGAATAGCCTCCTCACCGAGATGGTTCCTCCTGAGCGTCATGCGGGATGCTTTCTGCGTTGGAGTAAGAGACTGTAAATGTATCCGTTCGGTTGTAAACAACTTTTAATGGGTTAGGAGAGGATTCCTCATTCTGTTCGAAATGAATACGGCGAGATCGACCAAGTGGTTAGAGCGCGATTTTACTGACCGGAAGGACCGTGGTTCAAACCCAACCTCCGCGTCTCGACTTCCCCTGTCTAGGCTTAAGCCATCCAAGCACTCGTGCTTCCTTCTGGTAACATGGCAGTTAAGTGTCGAAACGATTTTTAACAAATGCTCCAGAAAGGTGAACAATCCTGGCTCCTAAGTCCTTGGGGAATGTTTTTCAATCAGGTTAAACATAACAGTACCAAAAAGGGCGAAACCTGTCGTGGGCTGTCGAAGAATTTTCAGCAACGTTATGAGTAGAGTATTACGTCTTAACAGTACCATCTTCAGTCAGTACTTCAAATATGAGTATCCAAAGCTAAGCTGCCGATTAATTGGAGCCAGAAATCACAAAACAGAAGAGTTAGTGTATGAGTGAGTCAAGCTCATGACATAAACTGCTTGCAATGATGGTCAACTAACGAATCTGCGTATGTTGCATACCTTGTTTTGAAGAATAAATAACCCATCTTGGGAAGGGAAAGGTGTGTTTTTTACGGCCATGAATGAAAACACTGGGTGTCGCCGAAACCGTAGTCTACCAGATGAAGACCTTCACGGATCCATTGGACGTTTGGATGAACAGAACTCATCGAGACTGAACACCATCGAACGGATATTTAGCAGCTGTAGTGGACCACCGGCGGGAGGGATGTTTCTTATTGCTTCTGAGTACTAATCACCAGTAGAGCTGGACGGAACGGAAATTGGTTACAGTTGCGTTTGTAATCCATGAGAATCGCTCAGATTATGGCCACGTCTAACTGTCGAATTGAACAATTGGGTTTAACATGTGGGTCGGCTAACACTGTGTGGTCAATTCGAGAGGGAAAGAAAGGACTTGGGTTCTCGCTTACTCTGCTTGTCCGGTGAACCTCCTATTCCCTAGTGACAGTTTGAGAATGCCATTCTGTCAAATTACCTGATTGAAAGAGTTTGGAAGAAATGCGTACCAGTTGACCAGGTTTACTTCCATGACACGAAAGGCTGAGAGAGTAGAGAGTGGTTCAATTATTTATCTACATTTGGGGCTAACCAGAAATGTTTCCCAATACTGATGAGAGTACTACAGCCTTGGGGTGGGGATGGCCCAAGTAGTCATAGCGCGAATTTACTGACCGGAAGGTCCGTGGTTCGAACCCGACCGCTGCATCTCGACTTTCCCCATCTAAGCTTGGGCCACCTGGCAGTATCCCAGCCCTCGTGCAACCTTCTGGCGGCATGGCAGTTAGGCATCGAAAGGGTGTTGCAGCTGAACGATTTTTCTTCATAGCTTTTGGACTCAACAACGTGACAGATAAAATTGACCTTGCTCATCCGTAATCGGTCACACCAATGACAGGCGATGTACTGTAAGATGAAAGAGTCTGGGAGATACGTTTTCGAGAAGAAGACTGTAGGTAGGTGTGTGTGACCAAAGCAAACGATGGGATGAAACTGGAGAAAAACTGAACACGTGTGTGGAACTTCCCAAGAAACAACAAACAGCGTTTCTCACCTCCAAATCTTACTTCCCGTGAAATTTCACGAGATGAGGAACACATGGGTACCTGTTATAGACTGTGTACGGAGTTCGCGGAGGGCCTCAATGGATTAAGACCGGCTGGATACTGAATGTCGTTCAGGATCCCTTATTGAGGTAAAATTCGCATGTCGCGTATTGGGATCCCGAAAAGGAGTTGCTGAGGTGGAAACCCATTATGGGGAAACGATACAGTGAGTTGGGGACCATTTTCATTCGTACGAACCATAGGATTCTAGACGAGCACGAGTATCTCGGATCCACCGCGTTTTCCAACCGACAGGCACTGCTCCATCTTCCAGGATTCTGAGAATCATACCGTTGAACAGGGAAAAGTCTATCCTGAAGACGCGACTTATCAACTTGCCATCCAACCAGTATTGCATTCGGCTAAAGAAACCTGATAGCCCGGGATGGAAGCTCCTGATTAGCCAAGACTGACAGACATTCCCAAAGTGTGTCTTCTTCAGGAGGACGAAACGAACGACAGTGCCCATTCTCAGTCAACTTGATTGGCACAGCGAACACAGCAAGTTTGATTCAAACTCATCCTTAGCTATCCACATGACGGCATCAAGACCGTACCAGCGTTGTCTTTCAGTAGTTATGAAAAAAAACGACGCTGTATTCACGAAAGCCCTGTAACTGGATAGCGGTCTGCGACTTACCAGAAACCGGCCGTGGCTAATCACCAGTGTGTGCTACAAGTCTGGTTACCCTGAGCGATGTTACTCACCCCACTTGAAGAAGTCAGGGAATCAAACCAGTGTGGATTCATTGAAGCCTCCGGCTTTGAACTATCACCCAGCTACGTTCAAATCAGTGGGAAAGAAATTCAACAGCACTGCCCACATCATCATCACCATCACCATTTAATTTACACAATTCTCCGAAGTATAAAAATCAGACAACTGGTAAAAAAATATCTATTTGTGAATAGGTTGTTCGGATATAAAATAAACGGAGAGGATGAAACAGATGGGTAATAAAAGCGGATGCCTAAAAAATGGAATGGGGTTCTGGTACGGATAAATGGTTACAGTATCGATTAGTGTTAATCCAACTTCGTCCAGTCAATTGGAGTTAGTCCATGCTCCCGGAGATAGTCGTTGGCCTTGGTGAAGTGACCGCAGCCAAAGAAACCGCGAGAGGCGGATAGAGGAGATGGATGCGGTGCATGTAAGACCAAGTGCCGTTTGCGATCGATACCTGCACCTTGCTTCAGCGCATGCGAACCCCAAAGCATGAATACAAGATTCTGAAGACAAGACAGAGAGGGAGAGAGAACCACGCGAGTAAGTGCCCGAGGAGACTGGCGAGTATAGGGTGGACATTGATACGGACTATAAAGACGCGAGATCCTTGTTGGTAACGTCAGTTCGACAAAAAACCATCATTAGGAGAGTGTGAGGGGAGTTGGAAATTGATTCGACGGAGAACCCATCCAGCAGGAGGAGCGAATCTATGATGAAAAGCACTTTACAAGCATTTTGTCCATATTTGGATTCATCATTGGTGTGCGCATCTCGTCAGCCAACTCCAGCATCAAACTTGCGAACCCCTGACGAGTGATTTGAACGCTAAAACCGTTTGGCCAAGAGCGGCGGATCAGTAGTGTGATTGACTCGTACTTGGTTTACTTTTGTGCGTATGTAGCGGCCTTGACTCCCCGAATCGATCACAACGGACTACGCACCTACTAGGCCCAAAACAACACAGAAGACACACGTTTAAGTAGTATCGATGTCGATGTAGTACGGGTGAGTTTTCTGCTGAAGCGAAGCTTGGGATCATTCGTTCACCGCAACATTAGTTCTGTTACACAGATGTCTCCAGTTGCCAGACGGACAGCCTCGCATGCTATCTCGGTCACCGCAACATTAGTTCTGTTACACAGATATCCCCAGTTGCCAGACGGAAAGGCTCTCACGCTATATCGAACTGTGGCAGTCCAATCGCGGTGAATTCAGACAAAGCCAGCCAAAGCACACTCAGTTGCTTAGAAACATCATCAATGTTTGCAAATGAGTGTATATTCGCGAATTTCGGACAATTTGGTTTCAAGTAGAACATAAGGTTGACGGAAACTCGAGAAATGCGCCTACCTGATGAGCCCCAAGAAGGGCGAAACCGGTCGTAGGCTGTCGAATAACTTTCAGCAACCTTATGAGTAGTGTATTACGTCTATAGATCTAATTTCGACGGCTCCATCACTCGCTTTGGCGCAACTTGAAACACTGGGGTCGGCAACGTTGAATCATTTTACTTTTCCGTATGATAGAAGCATTCGCATATCGCCTCAGCGGATAGGAGAACAGTGCAAAAAACGTCTGCACTAGCTTTTAAGAACGAGGCTTTGAAACCGCAGATGGGAACTGGACGGATGGCAGATAAGTAGTTGCTCAATCAGTCAAGCAAGCTAAGAGTTCATACCGCGATTGTTCTCGCGCTTGGTTTTATCGACATTTTCTAGAAAATAAAGATGTGCCAGCGCGGCGAGATGGCCCAAGTGGTTAGAGCGCGAATTTACTGACCGAAAGGTCCGTGGTTCGAACCCGACCTCTGCCTCTCGACTTTCTCTATCTAGGCTTGAGCGACCTGGCAGAATAACAGCCCTCGTGCCTCCTTCGCATGGCATCGAAAGGGTGCTACAGCTGAACGATTTAGTGCCAGCTTGAGAGATTCCCTAGATGTGACGTCCCCAGCATCAGTCAGCTCTTGCACAGTAAAGAGTGACGTACTCAATCGTCGATAGTGGTTGAGTAGCATCACCAGCAAAGCGGTCGGAGTTCCCAGTTACTCTCGACACTAAAACCCAATTTGTTCGAATGGTTGGACTACTGAACTACACGTGAGCTGCGATATCAACTTGTGGATGAGCACTGATTTCCACCATTGAGAAACTTAAATCAATTCATGAGACAAATTAGTAGTTGACTAATCCGATAGGTGATATCTTATCAACCACAATAGACAGACGGACGTTTCGTCATCAAAATGTCTATTTCAGTTAGTTTCAGTTCAAG